AGGGTTGGGGTTAGGGTTAGGTGGTGTTCCGGTGGTGTTCCGGTGGTGTTCCGGTGGTGTTCCGGTGTTCCGGTAGTCAGTGTTTTACTACATGCCCAATTATGCTGTATATATATTGATCAGTTACTTAGATCTATAGTCATGTTTTTTATGTAATATGTTATTTAGTTAGATACACGACCACGTACACATCTGCTATGCTGTAAAATTATCGTGTTAAAATAAATGCTTTTATTATTATTATTATTATTATTATTATTATTATTATTATTATTATTATTATTATTATTATTATTATTATTATTATTATTATTATTATTATTATTATTATTATTATTATTAATAGGCAAAATTTTCAAATTCTCAAATTTTCGACTATAAAGCAAAAAATCAGAAGTGGTAACACATATAGTCTTGTTCACCAATATTTCTACTATAAGAACATGCCTGTTACCAGCTTCTAACCTCAAGTTGCCATCAAACTGCACTCCAGCTGTCTGTTGTGTTCATGGGGTAAAAACATTATCCTGGTCACCGAAGTTGAACTATATGGATAATATTTTATTACACGTGGAATGAATTTTCTTTTATAAATACATGTGCAGAATGTACTTGTTTAGAGCCATTTTCAGTTCCATGTATACCGAAATAATCACATAAACTTTCAGATGTGCATACACATATTAACCTATGCTTAAATATTCAGATGTACCTATCAGGCTACGAGGACCATCGAGTGGAAATGGCATCGGTCGTGTCGAAGTTTTCTACAATGGACAATGGGGAACAATCTGTGACGATGGTTGGGATTTAAATGATGCTAAGGTTGCATGTCGTCAACTGGGATATAAATATGCTGACAGAGCTCTTCAAGGGAGCGATGTTCCTGCTGGAACTGGCCAGATATGGTTAGATAACGTAGGATGTACTGCACGTGATCAAAATTTAATCAGTTGTCATCACAGAGGATGGGGAATACATAATTGCCGGCATTCTGAGGATGCGGGAGTAGAATGCTCTGGATTTGGTAAGTTATAATATGTTTTAAGGCCCTCGCATAGTACACACAAACATATACTTGTAAGTCGATTATTGTGTTTCTAATTAGGTTAGTATAACGATAGTATGGACTTTAGTATCTTGTCAACAACGTAGTGATATCCTTCTCCAGCCAGGTTGCTATCAAAAACAGAATGTACGTTAGTAAACCCATATAAAAATATTTGTGACGCTATACATTGGAAGATGCGCCGCTACCTTTAATTAAGAGGGACTTCATGACAAGGTTTGGTTTTCTCCAATCTAGGTTCACACTCACTTCTCCCTTTCGTTTTGAATACTTGGCGGATATCACTTCGGACTATATTGATTCGTTAATCAGTTTATTAAAAATAACAAGGGGTAATTTCGTTCTCGACCAATCAGCGCCTTTGTTTACATATACAAGCAGATCGATCAGAATGCGCAAAACGCGTCATCACATGAAATTTGTAAACAAACTTTTAGGAATCATATGGGGTCACTTCAGAGCTTTGCTGTTGGCGGTTTTTTTTTGCTATGAAATTGATATATGCTATTCTCAAAAGAATTCTCCTCAACTTCGTCGTGGGATTTTTTATTAAAGGCATGATTGCGAAGATATGGTTCTTCAAGCTTTGCCTGCCGCAAGCTTAAATACTACGACTCGAATTTGTAGGATCCGAACGGATTGGCAGTTTTAAAAGCATAGCTTTTATTTTTTAAAATATACTTTTATCTTCCTATTTTCACGTTAACTTATTAATATCCTATGAACTAGTAAACAGGACACTTCCGCGACGGGACAAGTTGACATGTGGATTTCTTGCTGAGCAGCGTAGCGATCACTATGGCGTATACGAATAGATGGAATATAAAAATTTGTTGTTGATATAAAATGGCTAAAGAAACTTATCAAATTTTTTGGCCCGTTTTCAGTGCCGTAGCCAGAACAATAATTGGGGGGGGGGGGGG